AGAGCGCATAATTATAATTAGAAGGGGGGAGAATAATAGCTATATACCTATTCATTATTAAACGTGATAATTATAATAGAGAAGCGAAATGGATAGATTAATAGTAATAATAATAATATAGTAATAATAGTTTCGAGATCAATAAACGAAAAGTAAATGCGAGAACGCGAGAGGAATAAATGTATAAAGATAAGGATAAGGATGACGATAAAGATGCGAAAAAGTATAAGATGGAGGAAGGATTTATCTAAACGAGCAGATTCGTAATCCTTTTACTGGTACGCGATGAGAGACTTTGACGGTGACGAGCTTAGCGACTTTCGTAACGGTGTCAAGCCGGTCTAAAAGATTATACGTTCTATCTTTTAGACGTTAAGGTCCTCTTATTATATATGTTTCGTATTACCTTCGACTTTTCTTTTTTTTGACTGATCTTCGAGATTATAGATTCAAAGAGTTTTTGAAATTTATTATTATCGTTAAAATGATAAACGTTATTATTAAAGAGTTTGATATTTGATAAATTGGCCACGTACTGTATCTATACATGCAATGTATTTATTTGCAGCTTGTAGCTCACGAGAGACGATTGTCAACTTCTGCTTCTCGAACAATGGCTGCGATGAGTTTAGGATTCATTGTTATGGTCACGCCATGGACGATTCAGGAAGTCGTTGCAGCTTGTACCGGAAGCAAACCACCACCATTCCTCGACTTCCTCGCCACGTGGCTTGCGCTTTCCAACAGCTTTTGGAATCCGTTCCTCTATTGGCTGCTCAACAATCACTTTCGTCGTATTTCGAGAGAACTTCTCTACACTAAGGTAAGCGTAATTGCGTTACGAACACACAGTAATTTTCTTTTTTTTTTTCGTCGTTCGCATCTTAAATAATATAACAGTGGAAAAATCGCTATTATTATTTTTTAAACGTATACAACTATCCTCAACATATACTTGCATTTACATTTTTGCATTTACATGACATATATACGCTTTATATAGTTTATATATAAAGTTATAATATATAGTTTTAACCATATATAACTTTGTATAATAATATAATATAATCGATGCAATTTTGATAAAAACGACATAATTTATCGATTTATCGTTAATTATTGATTTCGTTTGATGCACGAATGATACATTCACATGTGCAAACATAAATACATCGAACTTATCCCGTTATCTCTGTTGATTTTTATATCGTTTGTCGTAGCTTGTACGCATACGCATTAGGTATCGATTTAATTCTATGCAAACCGGGTGTCTAAAGATATAATAATAAGTTGCTTTCAATGCAAGATGCGTGAAATATTAATATGTTAATCGCGTAATTTTTAAAAGATTTTTAAAAGGTAGGTATGATACGAATAGGAGAACGGAAAGATTTCGAAGATATTTTCTCGAAATCGCGATTTTCAACGAATTCGAATAATGCAAGTTTTACCGTACTAGAAGTAATATCGGCTATTCAAGACAGTGCTGTTCAAGCTTTATTCCCGAATAAAATGATTTTTGCCTACTACTGTACGTACCAAAAGTTTATGGATATTGACCATTTACGGTTATCGAGGGCTAATCCCTATTATATACCTTTGAACTACACAACTTACTCTTTTCTCAATCGTTTTATCCTATTATTTTAAAGACAAATTTTGGAGATAACGTTTCTCTTTCTCTAACAAATTAAATAAGTATATGCGAATTTCGTGAAATATTCGTGGAACGAAACCGCATGTAAATCTTTGCGTGTTAAAAATTTTATAGCGTGAAATTTTGAATTTGCAATTTTCCAGATACTTTGTAGGCCGAAACCTTTGGGACCGAAACAGCATTGTTGCGCGACTAGCACAGGTGGTCTTGATGTTTGTAACATGGCAGGAGTCGATTTATCAGGTGTGTAATATTTACTTTAAATTATTTCCAAATTCCAAAATACGAGAATTTTTTTTCACTAAGAATGATATATCGATTTACAAATTTTATCATTGTAATCGTATCATTGTAATTTTATTGTAATTTCACTCGTTCAAGAGTTGTTTTTTTATATTTTATTCTCCGATTTGCAGATCGTTATAGATAGATACTATAATGTGATGATATTAGTTGATTATCCGTTAAATTACACATTTTAAACCAGTCGCTGCGATGTATTTACCGAAACATCAGATAAGCGATTAACGCATACTCTTCATGGATCTATACTTACAAATAAAATTGTAAAAACGATTTTTATTAATATCTCGAGAATTATTAATTTGGGAACCATTGTAATTCTCGAATCAATCGCAAGCTTTTGATCGACTGATCTATTCTTTCACCGATCACGTCCTTTGATCTGAATCATCTCAATAATTGAAGTGAACTTTTTTGAAAAATCATAAAAAATACGTTAATATCCATTTTCCACTTCTTCCATCTAATATAATTGAAATAATTAAAAAACGAAGCAAATAAAAACTATGTAAAGTATGTAACATATATATATATATATATATATATATATATATATATATATTATATATATATATTATTATT